CCTGAATGACTGAGCTCTGAGTCTGAACCTCCGCTGGTTTCTTTCTCTGACTTTATGGAAAACATTCATCACTTTTCCCTGGACACTTCTTTTTTTTCAGGACAATGCTTCATTCACTGGGTTTCACGTCGTCAGGCTCAGAGACGCCGTCTTTATTTCATGGAAAATCACTTGGTTAAAGATTTTTCTCTCGGATAGTGAAGCTGAAGTTCTCTGGAAGGTGTCGGCTTCTAGGTCAGATTGCGTAGGTACCTGTAGAGCTGCTCCATCCCACCGTGTGGTGTGTCCTGATCCAGTATTTACAGCCCTGTGGCCTAAGTTAAGAGCAGAGCAGTGGTTGTTTGACTTACTGTTGCTTCATCAATGTTTAATTCTGTGAATACCACACTCACCCTTAATTGAAATCATGAGGGCTGAGGTTAGGACAGATGGAAAATACCAACCTAACCAAAGACCATTCAAGTCTATAATATTTTACTGCATCATCTCTGTGTTTAACAGCAGTCTTCCACAGTAGACTTTCTCATCCTCTTCTTCTCCCTCAGAGAATAGTGTTGATTTTACACCACGGGACACATGACTTGTTGCCTGTCAGTTCACATTTGTTCTTTTAAAGTCTTAGTTTAGAGAAAAGGTGAAACTAATGCCTGGTGTAAAATCAGCAGTTATCTCTATGAGGTTTGGTCTATCTAAGGTGAACCTCACTGGTGTCGTCAGGTCTGCTTTAGTCTACACTGAAGCTGCCCCTTCATTTTGGACATACTCTCCATTTATTGGCCAGCGGCTCCGACAGTTCCAGGTTTTTCAAAAAGTGGAATGACTTGTGGAGTAGATGAAAGAGGGAGTCCTGCTGTGCTGTAGAGTGTTGGTGTCACAGTGTGACATCATCTCCTGCTTGGAAGATCCTTCAGCTGCTGAAATAAGATCTGAAAGGAGAAGCACATCTGAGAGCAGTCTGCAGGAATCCAGGCTCAGAGTGGGCTGTGACCTCTGTCTCTCACTTAGTGGCCCAGAACACATGTCCTGTACACTGAAATACTGGTTTTACTTTACTGTGTCTGCCTTTGTCTTCACTGTGGTGAGAGTCCAGTTCAGTTTAAACTGATCAGTCCCTCAGCTCTGTGAAAATAGCTCCACCAGGTTTTAGTGTCTCTGCTCTTTGTCTCCAGGTCTGTGTGGAACCACATAGGCCCACAAGTACTTGGACTTGGACAGAGTAGTCCTCTTAGGTACTGATGGTTAAAGGAAAGTCCCCTCATGATGTGTTCAAGGACACTCTCCCCAGCTGAGATTTA